CCCCCCCCCCCCCCACGGACCCTGATTTTCGAATCATTTTATACGAAGACCCTCGGTCAAGGCTCAATTTCTTGTTTCGTCGCCTCAGTCGAGCATAGGTCATTTTTTAGAGTTTAGTGTAGGATCCTCGGCTGAAAGATATGTTTCTTAGAATTATAGTTTTTCTTACTCATCGCCAGAATCTGAACGTTTGCCTCTAGAAGGCCTGTTTCTTGGTCGCGGCCGCCAACTGTATGTCTCAGCACACCTTGGCAGCATCAAGCACCACGGTATTACAGAGCGTGTCTGGGGAGCGCAAGCCGCGTGCAAGCATGCCAGAGTTCAACCTGCTCTTGTCTTGTGTTGCAGTCGGGGGCCCGATTAACGGCGAACTAAATAAGGCAGTTTGCCCGATATAAGGCGGCTGAAATTGACTTAGATGACGGGAACTCGCCAAAGGCGTCGACCGCCATATTCAGGACAGGCCCATATATTTTGGGCAGCATGCCCAACACAAACCCGCTCAAGGCAGTGACACATCACTCCAGTCTGTTGAGCGCACGGACCACTCGCGTACGGGAACCTCCATATATTGGAGAGAGCGCAACCAAGGAGGAGACAAGGGGGGACGGAGCTAACACAGCTGTTGCTCTCTGCAGAGAGTTATACAACATAGATTAGTTGTGTACCTCCCCCCCTGTAGTCTGCCCCCTCGGTGTTTGACATCGGGGTTGGGTTTTCGTCGCTGGCAACGACGTTGTAAAACAAGCCGCCCCCCCCGGTGTTTGCCATCGGGGTTGGGTTTTCGTCGCTTGGCAACGACGTTGTAAAACAAGCCAATTCACTTCGTGAACTCGGCAACCAGGTTACCGTTTTTTTTTTTTTCCTCCGTTTTTTTTTTTGGCGGTAACCATAATGGTGGTCGAGTAGATCATGTTGTGCGGGGTGGAGAACCCTCACTCCGCGCAAGGGGGATGATCGCCGGACGTTGTGTTAAAATGGTCAAGCACCCTCAAGGCAGTTACACAGTGCTTANACCCCCCATCCGTGTTTGCCATCGGGATTGGGATTCCGTCGCTTGGCAACGACGTTGTAAAACAAGCCAATTCACTTCGTGAGCTCGGAAACCAGGTTTCCGTGTTTTTTTTTTACCTCTGTTTTTTTTTGGCGGTAACCATTATGGTGGTCCAGTGGATCATGTTGTGCGGGGTGGAGAAGCCTCACTCCGCGCAAGGGAGATGATCGCACCACGTTGTGTTAAAATGGTCAAGCACCCTCGAGGCAGTTACACAGTGCTTACAACTGTCTCTGGAAGTGAAAGCACCAGAAAATAAATTAATTCATACGCAGCTGTCATCCGTACGCAAGGAAGTAAGCACAAGATGCCGAACACCCTTAGCAGGATGCAGCGCACCCTTCATGCGACTCGCCGAATATCTCACGGCGCTTCGCGCTTGGTGATGTGAGAGCCTGGTCCGGTGAGAACCCGGCGTGCTCCGTCCCGGCTTTGTAGGGATGCGAGGTCAATGGTCTAACGACTACGGCATGCACGGCTATGAGTACACCCCCCCCTCGGCCTTTTGTTTTGTTGTTGCGGTAACCATAACGTTGGTCGAGTAGATTATGTTGGGCGGGGTTGAGAACCCTCACTCTGCGCAACGGGGATGATTACATCACGTTGTGTTTAAATGGCCAAGCACCATAGAGGCAGTTACACAGCAGTGCTTTTTACTGTCTCTTGAAGTGAAAGCACCAGAAAAAACATACAGTGCGCAGCTGTCATCCTTACGCAAGGAATCAAGCGCAAGATGCCGAACACCCTTAGCAGGATGCAGCGCACCCTTCATGCGACTCGCCGAATATCTCACGGCGCTTCGCGCTTGATGATGTGAGAGCCTGGTCCGGTGAGAACCCGGCGTGCTCCGTCCCGGCCTTGAAGGGATGCGAGGTCAATGGTCTAACGACTATGGCGTGCACGGCTGTGAGTACACCCCTCTCCCCCCCCTCGCCCCGTACGTGCTCCGAACTGCTTGTCCGCAGATACGCCGCAATAAGAAACAATTCGTTGAGACTGCGCGCTTGGCGTGCATAGTGTCGAGGAAATGAGAGTGGTGGATGAAGATACGCAGCCTCTGCACAGACGGCTACAGGCGCAGCGGCAGCAGCAACGGAGATCAAGCACTTCGTTGACATCGAACCTCGTGCGTCTTCTTGGTGCGGTGTTGGTGGTGGTTTATCTTTGCGTCGTCGTCATGATCTTCAAGTATTTGACCTCCGAGTACCACAGGGCGAGCATAGTCAAAATCAGTGAGGAGACGGACGTCAGCGATTGCATCTTGCTCTACGGGGCGTTTTGCAACGGTGAGTTCGCTGCGTGTCTACTCACGTCGGCGTCGTATGCACTGTATGAGTCTTGTCCTTTTTGGTACCAAGGGGCGTGTTTACGAGTGTTGATCCTCGGCGTGGTCGGATTGCTCGACACGCCTTGCTGTAAACAAGCGCGGAGAAATGGTCCCACTTGATGAATGGTTCCATGAATTTCTCGTCAGTTGTCGGCATTCACGCCGCAGGACGATGTAAACGAGCGAACAAGTGTTGTGAACAGCGAAAGTCGTCTTAATGTGATGTGAAATGAACGCCAATATTACCCCCCTCTTGTTCTACTGTGTGGTGCGCTCTGTACTCAGGCAATATGGGCGACGTGATCCAGCCGCAAGCGATGGAGAATCTCCTCGCCATGCTTGTGCCGGAGCAGTGCTTTTGGTACGCCCACCCGTGGGGGGAGTACCACATGCGGGGCCATCGACTTGGGGAGTTCTTCAGCGGAAACATCAGCGGCAACTACGACACTTTGATACCCCTGACGGCCGGCCATGCTCAAGAGGTGAGTTGTAGCAACGGCATGGGTTGGAGAGGATAAGAAGTAGGGTACGTTTACGCCGCGATACAAGGCCGTGTTGCTCTGACAGAACGTGCGAAGCGGCAGTTAATACGACTGACCTGTTTTCAACCAACGAGAATTCTCGAAGATTGTGATCGTAAAGTAGGGCATGTCAAGCGGGACTCTATTGTACAGCTTGTACATGGATAATACGGTGCTCGCACTGCTGTTCAAGTTGCAGTATTGTAGTACGTTGGGTTGTTCGGGACTAGTGGCATCCGCGAGGTTGACGAGGGGCAGAACCAACCGCAGGTTTAAAAACGTCCCCAAGTGCAGGCTTCTCGACCCGGCCCCTCCCGAGCCCAACTTTGGTATGCTAACCAAATGTGGCAAGACTCAATCATGGGACTTGAATCTTTTGTTGATGCGTACATCAGCCCCATTGCGGCCCTTGAGGGCTACGAGCAAACGCATTGACGTTGTTGGGATGGATGTACAACTCTATATCGTAACGTCAAAGGCGATGATGCACGCACGTACCTTGCGAAGGTGAATCGGTTTGAGGCTATCATCATCGGCGGTGGCGGGATCTTTGCCGCCAAACACTCTCCGCTATGGGTGGACGATTTTGCGAAAGGCCTTACTGTGCCTATCATCATCATGGGCGTCGGGGCGAGCAAGTAAGACGACAGCGGACAGCGGAAACTGTGGTGTTTGTGGTACCGATACCCTTGCATGATTAATATTCAGGATGTAGAAGTTTGAGAGGAGGGGGTGGGGAAGTTGTCCGAAGGTACAGAAGGTAGGATATAAATACATATTTCACCTTGGCACAGCCTTTTTCAACTTGGGGAGTTGCGCAGCCACCCACACACGTCCTTGGTTTCGCTGGAAGATGGTCTGCTCTTGTTCACCCTTTAACGATACACCCTGCGTTCTTTCTTGGTGCCCCATACACGAAAATATCAACAAGCATAGATTATGCAGGCACCGTCTCTGGCTTTCGAACATGTGACCCTGCGGGAACGATCTTTGCAAGATTATTTTCCGCGGCAGATATGGTTCGGATGGTTGGGATGTAGAATGCCTTTGACGGTGGCCCAGGAGCATCGGTAGATAATTGTCGCAAACACATGGTGGTATTCGCGTTGGAAGAAGACCGTGCTCCATGGTGGCGCAAGAGCCGTGTGGATCGCCCCTCATTCGCGTAGGTAGAATCTAATGTAGCGTTGTGTTCCCACCGAAGTTGTTTTCGGAAATGGTAGCGCTACATAGTTGCTTTGGTTCGGCATCGTTCATAATCCCCCCCCCGGGAAACAGTCCACCACAATAGTCTTTCGTTTGCCTATCAAGTAGTTGCACATGAAAGGCTTAGCAACTGCTGTGTACCACTACGGATGCTCACTCTCTGCCGGTGCGTCTGCTTATCTTCGTCGTCGCTCAGCGTCGCGAACCACTACAAGGTCCTGGTCGACAAGGCTGCCTTCGTGTCCGGGAGGGATGAGCGATCGATTGGCGCCTTCACCAGCCTGTTGCAAAAGAGCGGGGATAGATCCTTGTTGAAACCGAAGGATGTCGCCCTCGTGAGGGATCCGGTGTTGAGCAACAAGATGTTGACGGACACCGACGGCACGTGCTGGAGACAAAGCCAAGGTAGGGGTTGTCCTGACGTTCCTTGCTGTCTCGCGACGAACTTGCAGTGGTCGTCCCGATGTACCGAGGTGTAGTGACAGACAAAAATAACCGCGGTATTTTGGGACACCGCACTATTGAGTGTTGGGAGGAACATATATCGTTACGTTTGGTAGCCAACACCGGTGAAAAGCCATAGTGTATCGGGACCCGCACTAGTCGGGACCGCGGTTTGTCAGGACCATGACTGTACGTGAACGGGGATTGCTTGGTGCTTTCGGTGACACCGATAAATGTGGGTAGCACGTCGGTAGCAAAAGTATGTGTTGATCCCACTGCCGCACCACGAGCTCCTCTCTCTCTGTGTGTTTTGAGCAACCTATAATCCCTCGAGCACATGAGAGTAGGTATGGGTGGTCTTTGCCTGTAAACTGCTTTGACATGGATTGATCCCACACCGTGTTCGTGTCCAAGTAAGCGCTGCTCAAACAGGAAATTAAGATTGGAAGCCCGACGAATTTAAGGTCGATGCAAGCTCCGCCCAGAGCTTCTAGTTTTTGCTGTTTTTTCTTGTCCGCTCTTCGAGGACGAACCCGCTCAGCTAGCGTTTCCGTGGTCCTTGCCCCATCCCCCCTCTCTCACCACGCGGCCAAAGTTTCCAGTTGGTGGTCAACACCACCATCCGTTCGCCGCTTCGTGCGGTGTATGCACCTTCTCCCTCAGACATTGAGAACGTCATAATCATTACAGAACATCACCATCGCCAACACCACCGCGAATACATACGCCGTTTTATGCTGCGTTGGCTTCTCCCAGGCGAGTTCCAGCCGCTTTGCTTTATCCTGCCTGCCGCGAACACCGGAGTTCTCATGGCGATGCACCAGCACCTCCTGGACAACGTCGTCCAACGCGGAGACGTCTTCGTTAACGTTTTCCCCAAGCACCAGGACGAGATCGTCAAGAACTTCGACTACCCGGGCAAGGTTCACCAAATGCTCGATCCCAACGAGTACTCGAGGCGCTTGTGTGCCTGCAAGGCCATCATCTCGACCAGGCTTCACGGGGCCATCCTGGGGCTCCACATGGGGGTTCCGACCTTCGGAATGTTCCGCGTACCGGAGGGAAACAAGGTGTGTCGTTCGTACATCCGGCAACTTCGGCCGAGCGGCACATGTGATGTGCATATGCATTTCAAAACCCACCGCGTGCTTCTGGCCTTGGTATACGGCTTGTCGACCCCAGATGTTGGGTGAGGTTTGGGAGGCACAAGCGGGAGATGCGGCTGGTCTGCTATGTAGTGAATCTGGATGCCAAATTGCACGCTTTCTACGCGAAACCTCATCACAACTTCGCTTGCAATCATGACCAGTTCTCACAGCTGCTTGAATACTCGTTTCCCGACTTGCTGCACCGCAATGCCCGGGGAAGCAATGTCGGTGTCGAAGGCGTCGTTTTTCAGATTTTTGTGTTTCGTGCGTTTGTGGTGGTACCCCACTCCCCGTCTTGCGCACAATCTAGGCGCGTTCCGCTTCAACCAGAGCGCAATTGTTCATAGCTACTTGTGCCTGTGGCACGTGTGGTGTCTGTGCACTGGTTGCTTTCTTCGTTCGGCTCATACAGCTGGTCTAAAGAAGCATTAGGGGTTGAAATCTATGATGCTAAGATCACGTGTTGGACTACAGCAGAACTCACTGATCTGATTTAGCCGCAACCGTGCTACAATGGTTGGGTTGTTCGGCATCAGAACTTACACGAAACGCGCGGTGGCCTGCTCCACCTCAATGGCTTTTCCAACAGGTCCCTGACTTGATGATCGACGTCATGCAACTGCCGGACCAGTTCTTCGTTATCAACGAGACGCTATCTCGAGGCTTCGTGGACGAGAGAGTTGAAACCGTCGTGGGACTGTACAACGACATCCACCGAGGGCACCGCGCCTCCATTCACGCCAAGCTGGCGTCGTTCACGGACGATTTCCTGGTTCACGCACGCCACGTACTGTTCGACGTTATCGGTGTGCAAGATCCAAGCAAGAACACCCAGAGCAAAGATGATGGGTTTCTTCTGAATGAGAACCAGCACCGGCGCCGAAGAAACAGCGCAAAGAGAAGGAAAACACAGGGAGAGGCTGGCCCGGCATGACTGACCATCAGTAGCAGCGACGGCCGCGGTTTCGGCAACGGCGAAACGGGAACGTTAGTATCGATAGCGGCCGCGGCGAGAACTGCGATGGAGGTACTTGCCTCCTGCGCAGGACAGTGAGTGGCGGTGGCCGTGCGCAAAATCATGCTTTGGATCACGCTGGTGACATGGCACCTCAAAGGGTAAGGTGGCCCGCCCCCCTCGCCGATGTTGTAATAACAGAACTGGAATTGATGTTGTTAAATTACCGCTGTTAATCGCGAAAGGGCACCACTTGAGAAAACCTGTTGCATATCGTGGATGACATCCATTCAGCCGCAGCTTACCGAAGGAGCGCGGTGAAACACAGCGAACTTGCGGGGGTAGACGAAGTATCATTAAGTTGAGCAGCTGACATTCTAAGTGCAGAAGCAGGAGCAGTCACGTCACGCGAAAGTAGCGTGGAGAATACTGTTTTTGGTAGCCTGACGTTAAGGCGAGCATGATGGCGCGTGTTCCTGTATTGTGTCCGACCCCAAATGTGAAATGGTAGCTTCCACCTATCTATGGAGTCACGAATTCAAATTCTCAAGACAATGGGGCGGCAAACATGGTTGGTGCCGTCCTGTGAATGTTGCATCGCTTTAGCCAGCCGTGACAGGGTACGATCGGTCGGTGCTTGGCTTGGAATAGCCGTGCCTCACTCAAACGGAGGGACGAAATCATGTACATAGGCTCACCAATTGCGTTGCCTTGTTTGCCTATGACTGATTTTGGCACCGGCCGCCGATCAGCACTGCGTGAGTGATCCAAGTCTTAGATAGTGTAGTTAACGGTTGTTTTTTTTTTTCCGTCTGTGTGGCCCTGGCAAAGGTCGAACGTTCTTGGGGTGCCTGCTGATTGATTGCGTTGTTTGGAGCGTTGAGGAAGGACTACATCCATTTGCCGGTAGTTGGTAGAGTGCATGTTGCTGTAAATTCCATCCGTTTCCCGGCATTCTGCGTGGTGAATCTGTCGGGGATTGGTGGTGTGACGTTGATTGACGCATATCTCAGACTGCAAGACACGCCAGAATGAAAATTCCCTTGTGTTGTACAATACACGAGACGGAGCGCTCCCGTGCGTGTGTGTAGTCGTGCACTACGAAGGGCACTTGCTGTAACGATTGCAGAATACTGTTTCCATGTGGTGAGTTGCATGGTACTTGAAACTGGGGAATTTTCCAGTTGGCGTAGCGAGCAACAACACCATATAACGCGGCGTCCACAGCTGGAACAAGATAGACCGATCAACGTTGTTGGCGACGAGGTTCTTACTTGAGTGGTCCCGGGTGTCATAGGCTTCCCAGGATGGTGCTTGGTGTCACCGTTTATGAGGCTCTCAGCGGACTGTAGCGACGATTCCCTTCGCGATGTTTTTGACCCGAAGGCCGTGGGAAGTCCAACATAACAACAACAACACGACTCTTTGTTGGTGCTTACCGACAATCCAACTCGAAATGGTTTGACAGCGTACGGTGGTGCCGTATCGCGTTCCGAAGCGGTATGCCAGACCCCGGTACAAAGTCGATACAAAAAAGAAATGAATAAAATCCACACAAAATGACGCCACGTTGGGAGCATTGTCGTAAGCCACATCTCACACGGGGGCCCCAAGCACTTGGTTCCAAGTCGCTCTCTGGTATTCCTCTGGTTGCAAGCGCGCGCGGTAACGTCGTGAACATCGAGTGTGACCTCGCGATTAGACAACCTATGTGCCATCATTTGACATTCTCTAGCTAGACTCCGAACCCGCCACTCCGCCACCGACCTGATCCACGTTGGATTGAAGATAGACTCATGAGTTCCATGAGTTCCTTGTCACCTTTGGCGGCTTGACTTATTTTTATCTGAAATTGGGGGCAAGATTGAAGCTTGCAAGCGATAGAGTAAATGTGCCAATTAAGGACCACCTAAGCCCCCCCCCCACTCAGGTAGCTCGTTCTCTGGCGTCACGATGATTAATGAAGAGGTTGGGGTATCGGATGATAGCTTAGAGCACACCCTACCAGCCCAAAAAGTGTATTTTTAGAAAAAGTTAAGTGGCGATGTATAATAGCCCTCAAACTATACCTCATTTTCCAAAAAAAAATGCGGGAAAAATGACGGTGCTCCTGTTAGGGACCACTTTCGGGTAGTGGCCGATTACGCAGGTTCTAAAGCGTTTCAAGACCTGAAATTTGGCACACGAGCTGGTAACATGTAATGCAGATTCCATTTAAACAAAAAAAAAGCGGTCCACACCCGGGGACGAAATGCCTTTCCCCGGTTTTCGGCTCCATTACCGGGGGCGGAAAATACCCCTATTGAGGGATAACGCGCGTTATTTTGCCATGATACGATTCAACCGCATCCTACTCGAAGTCATAAAAAAAAAAAACGACAAACGAGAGCCAACAGACGATGTTATGGCTGTGCAAACATGGGTACTTTTCCCCCTTTTTGACTTGGACGGCAGCAGAATCCGCCTCAAATCTGCGAAGAGTTTGAGCAACCATTTTGCACCCATATGAACCCACCACCACACGCCGTTTGACAGAAACGCGCTGAAGGTTGCAGAAAACACGTTGGAAACGAAAAAAAACAAACACGCCCAGCCCAGGGGACAAAAGTACAGCATCCCCGGGTTTCTCGACCAACTGTCCGCCCGCCCGCCC